TCAAATGAATAGCCTAAAGATAACCCTCAAATTTTGAGAAAAACAAAAACAAACCAAATCCAAATTAGCAGATGGAAAGAAATAATAAAGATTAGGGGAGAAATTAATGAAACTGAGACTTTAAAATATATATCAAGAGCAGCTGAGAAGGTGGCTCAGTGGTAGAGCGCTTGCCTTGCATGCCTGAGGCCCTGGGTTCGATTCCTCAGCACTACATAAGCAAAAAGAAAAAAGCCAGAAGTGGCGCTGTGGCTCAAGTGGTAGAGTGCTAGCCTTGAGCTGAAGAGCTGAGGGACAGCGCCCAAGTCCAGAGTTCAAGCCCCACGACCGGACCCAAAAAATAAAAAATAAAAAAATCAAGAGTCAATAGAAAAGTTTGTTCTTTAAAAAAATAAGATGATAAGGCATTAATTTGTCCAAAAGAGAGAAAAAAGAGATTCAAATGAGGAAGATTTAGAGATGAAAAAGGGAATATTACATGTATCAAAAAAAATTAAGAGGATCATGATGGAATACTTTCAAATTCTATAGTAAAATCAGCTGGAAAATCTCCTTGTTAAATATTGGTATAAATGTTATCAATTAAATTTGTGTAAACCAATTCAATACCACCTTAAAAAGATCAGACACTATGATAAAGTTAATTTCATCCTCAGGATACATGGATGGTTCAAGCTGTATAAATCCATAAAAGCAATATATCACATGTACAGGACCAAGCACAAAAGTCCCATGATCACTCAGTTGATTCATAAAACAAACAACAACAAAAAAAAAGCCCTTTGACTCAAGTGGCAGCATATCACTATCACTTTCTAGGGCTCCTATAAAAGAGGTACTAATTTTCACATTGCCAATTTTCAAAACAACAATGTAATATGATTATAATTGCTTAAAACATAAAAATATAAAAAGCAAATACATTCCTTTATAATTGTTATGAACTTGAAAGTAAAACACTTGAAAAACAATATCCAAAAAGGTACTGATTTTAATAACAACTGATATCTAAATTCTGTCTTATATTAGATATTTCAATTTATATAATTTCAAGAATCCTGTAAAACCATAGGTTTTTTTTAACCTCAATTTCAGTGAGGAAAATAAGGTTCTGTTAATAAAACCCAGAACTGAAATTAATATCATATAATCATTCCAGATCCCATGCTTTTTTGCCAAAGCATCAAGTGATTATAAAGAAGCTTCCTAATATATTTTAGCAAATAATATTTTGGTTTGCACTGTTATGCCAACAATGGCATATGCTGCCAAGGTAGCAGACATATTACAGAACAAATCATGACTACTATGCTACCTATCCATGCCACTAAACAACTTATTATTTTTACTTTTCTCAGTATTTCAATGTTTAAGAAAAGAGCTGAATGGATATCTGTGGCTTACCTCAGCATACTTGCTTGCTTCCACTAAAATCATAGCCAGGTATGTACTGACAGAATGGTATGCATTAACTTAAAGTAACTTCTCATAGTATCAAGGTGTGCCAAAATAGAATTATAGCTTCTATTACCATTAAGAAGAATATGCCTCTTTATTAATTCATTTTCCTCTACCAAAATTTGTTATGAAAATTAACACACACAAGTGATGCATAGAGGGAAAACACGTGACATTTAGCATTCATTTAATAAGTAGCAAAATTGACATAAGATTATACTCAAGTCTAACATGGGACTAAAGCATGTAAATATTCAAAATAGTATAAAATATTAAAGTTGTGGAAATTTTTAAAGAGGAAATATATAAACATTTGGGCATATTGTAACTATCATGAAATATTTGTATGACACTGAAATGTTTCCTTCAGTTGCTGCCTATAACAATACATTTCCTAGTTTGGACATTCCATGCCTGTCTGATAGCACTCACTTATTTTCTAATACTATTCCTTCCTGATTTTGCTCTATGCATACACTTTTAAGTCTCTATTGTCATGCTTGAGTTCAGTTATTACAACCTCTACCACAATCACTAGCAATTTTGAGCTTCCTGAGCTTTTTTTTTTGTTGGTCATGGGGCCTGAACTCTGGGCCTGGGCGCTATCCCTCAGCTCTTCAACTCAAGGTTAGTGCTCTACCATTTGAGCCACAGCACCACTTCCAGCTTTTTCTGCTTATGTGGTGCTGAAGAATCGAATCATACATTCTAGGCAAGCACTCTACCACTCAGCCCTCCTAAGCTTTTTTCAGAGCACTGTTCTGAAGAATTTACACAGACTGAGGGTATAGAAACAGTAGTAGTTTGATAGTATAATTTTATATCCACTGAATCTAGTAATAAAATACACATTCTGTGTTTCTTTAATGTGTATTTCACGTTCCAGTAAAAAACATTTCCACTTTCATTTTTATTGTGTATCCTAAAAATACTGGTGTTGCAATAGCCAGGATATGGAAACAACCCAGATGTCCCACCACAGATGAATGGATCCAGAAACTGTGGTGTCTATACACAATGGAATATTATGCAGCCATTAGAAAGGACAAAATAATGGCATTTGCAGGGAAATGGATGGAGCTAGAAGAAATCATGTTGAGTGAGGTAAGCCAAGAGCAAAGAGACAAACGGCATATGGTCTCCCTGATAAGTGGATGTTAAATCCAAAATGTAAGGTGATATGACAAAATTAACAAGACTTAAGAAACAAAGGACTTCCACTCATCTGGTCAAATCACTACTAAATAACCCCATGCTGCTGATCACATATATGATATATATGTGCACACTGGAGGGAAACCAGGAGGACAACACAGAACTAGAGGGAATCAGGGATAAACATACATCAGCGGGACCCATCAGCTGCATTGGACATTGATCAAAATGAACTAAGCAACTCAATGGCAGTGATGGGAGGGAGGGAACAAGTGGGAAAGAGGGAACAGCTGATGCTATGCAAAACAAAAGAAATGTACATATCCCCAATGTGAAAGAAATAACTGTACTGCAAAGCTCATAGAACTCATAAATGGTATAGACCATGATAGACAATTTGCCCCATGAAAGTTAGAATGCATTTGTGACTTTAATAAGCATCACTATCCCACAATACTGTGAAATTTGGGAAATTATGTAACCACTTAATCACAATAAAGCATTTGAAAAAAAATACTGGTCTTGGTTGAAGGGTGGTGAGAATGTTGAAGGAGGTGACACTGATCAAGATGCACTGTACTCATAAACTGCTTGTTTTTTTCTTTTGTTTTGATCAGTCATAGGGCCTGAACTCTGGATCTGGGTGCTGTCCCTGAGCTCCTCAGCTCAAGGCTATCGTGCTCTACCACTTGAGTCACAGTGCTACTTCTGGCCTTTTCTGCTTATGTGGTGCTGAGGAATCAAACCCAGGGCCTCATGCATGCAAGGCAAGCACTCTTCCACTGAGCCACCTTCCCAGCCCTAAACTGCTTGTCAAATATCACCTTCTTTGTACAAGGACTCAAAAGTAATTTAAATTTTTTAATAAAAATACTGGTCTCTAAAAGGGGAAGGGATAATCTTTCATCATTAATAAGATGCACAATTTTTTTAAAAAGAAGCATTATAGCCATTAGAAATGACAAAATAATGGCATTTGCAGGGAAATGGATGGAGCTAGAAGGAATCATGTTGAGCGAGGTAAGCCAAGAGCGAAGAGACAAACGG